CTAGTTTTTATTTAGCATGCAGCACCCTACACATCTACTTTGTTCCTTTAATTCCTCTCCCACTTAACTTTTAAAAATTATTACAATCTAAGATGTTTTAATTTATAGGTGGTTTTGTTCTTCAGAATATTATGTCCCTAAAATGTAAGCTCGGGAAAGTACAGGGCAATCTTAATTTCCCTCCCATTCTAGCGTCATATGTCTACATTTGTGAAGTTTCTTATCTGAGGAATGATGGTCTGAAAGTAATGACTAGCTGAAAAGGCAGGCGGGCGGGCAGGAGAGCCAGATTTGGTAGCTTTACCTAGTGGTTAAGAACGTAAGAGGACCCATGCTGGATGAGAGCAAGGGTCCATTTAATCCAGATGCTGTTCACTCAGTGGCCAAACAGGTGCTCACAGGATTCCCAGAAGTAGGGTATGAATTCAGCCCTTACCAAGTTGCCCAGGAACTGGTGCCCATAGGCAGCATAGAGTCTTCCAAACTAGTAGCCATCAGTAGGTTTGTCCTACGTTAAGTCATCCGATCCCTTTTTTAAAATGTCCATATTGCTAGCTATCATTACATCTTATGAAACTAAATTTTGTAGATTAACTATGTCTTGTATGGAGAATACTTTCTTTTCTCTGTCCTGAATCTCCTGCCAATCAGCTTCAGAGATGACCCCAGGTTCTAGAGTTATGGAAGAGACAGAGAAAAAGTCTCCTTATCCACTTCCACTACTCTGTGCTTATTTTCTATACATCTACCATGTCTCCACTTACCTTATTTTTCTAAGCTGAATGATTCCAGTTCTTCTAGCCTTTCCTCCTTATGGAAGTTCCTTGGAGGTCCCAACACCCTCAATCATTTTAATTACCCTTTTCTATACATTTTCCAACACTATGATGCCATTTTAGGTGCACTAACCAGAACTGTATACAGTATTCTATACTGTATGGTGCAGTCACACCATAGATTTGTACAAAGGCAGTATAATATTGGCTGAAATATTTTCAATGGCTTTCCTAATTCCTAAACTCCTGGCATGGAGTTGACCTTTTTCAAAGCAGCTGCACAATGGGTCCACCTTTTCATCAACACCAAGGTCTTTTTCTTGAAGAGTCATTGATAGTTCAGATCCCATCAGCCTATACCTGAAGTTAGATTCTTTTGATTGAACCTCATTTGCCATTTTTATGGCCATCTTCCTGGTTTAGAGAGATCCTTACAGAGTGGCTCACAATCCCACTTTTGTCTCAACCACTGTAAATAATCTGGTGTCATCAGCAAACATGGCCATTTCACTGCTCACTTGTCATTCCAGTTCAGTTATAAGTTGAAAAGCTCTGATCCAAATATAGAGCCCTGTGGGACCTCATAGGGTGAATTTATCATTTATTCCCGCACCTTCCGCTCTTGCTTTAAACCATTTATAGATCCAGAAGAGGCCCCTTCCTCTTGTTTCATGACTGGCCAAGTTTGCTAAGGCGTCTTTTATTATTATTATTATTTATTATTATAACATTTCTATGCCGCCCCTTGCCGAAACCTCGGGGCGGCTTACAACATGATAAAATACATTGAAATACAATAGTACATAATAAATTACCATTAAATATAAAAATACAAAAAATACATTGATTTACAAATACAATGTATTTTTTGTATTTTTATATTTAATGGTAATTTATTATGT